GTGAACCACTACACTAACTTGCAACTGAGTTCGTCACTTAGAATATATAAATTCTCTAAATTTCCTAAGTCCCTAAATCTTTAAGTTCGTAAATCAAGTGAAGTAATTCCAAGGCATTCCGGATACCTGTAGGACGTAAGATCCCCTAAGATTATAAAGTCCGATGATAAGGAAGTTACTTACTGCAGCCAAGGAACTTAGATAAATTACATAAAGTAACAAGAGAAGATTATTTTCCGGTGACAATATATATTGGTTATAATATTATCAAAATGCTGAAAATTTATCTATTGTCTCAAATAACTTATTACTACTATCTGAAATATCGTCTTCTTCAGTAGTATATTTAGAAGATTCAGAAGACTTATCAACACTTTGTTCAGAATTGTCATTAGGAGGATTTATGTTAGATTTTGGTCGATTTTTGTACCTATTTATACGTCTTCGAGATACAAATTTAGGATCAGAATCCTCTTGATATTCATCATCTTCCAATTTATGTTTAACAATTTGTTTAGCTAAAGTTGATATTATTGAAGACTCTCCCATTTCTTTCTGAATTTTGAGTTGATTAGAATGCATCCAAAATTGAGCTTTGTGAATATTAATATCTTGTTATTACATTATATAATGATGATATTCTATAAGTAAAAGATATTTTTTCATCAATTAAACTAGTAATCAATCTGTTTCTTCTATAAAAAGCTGCAGTAAAAAATTAACTTGAGTCATTTTCTTTATTATCAAATATGCTAGTAATTGACCTTTTTCTGCTCATTTTGATTATATATTTAAAATAAAGAAAAAAAATAAAGAGAAAAAAAGTTCAAAATAGAGCAATTTATAAGAATAATTTTCATATTTGTATTGTTTTATATTCTTAATATTATTTTATAGTATAAGGATGATTTATGTATTATTAATTGAATATATTAATACTTTATTTAATATTTCTGATTTTCTGATTCAATTATTATAGTTGCCTGACAAAACTCCTGGGTTTAGACAGACCGTCAAATGTCGAAAGTGTCAAAACAATAATAAAAACATATAAACTAACCTATCGAAACTTGTCGAAACCTGTCGAAACCTAACAAGCTATATCAAACAGTCGAAACTATATTATGGACTTATTAAAAACCTGTCGAAACTAGAGGTTTAGACATTTCGACAAATCCAAAATAGGTTTCGTCAGGCAACTATATCAATTATATTAAAAGTTTATTTAAGCTTATCTATTTTTGATTTATAAATGAATTAAAAATTCAGATTAGAAAATTAAAATTTTATCACGTTAGCTAAAAATTTTGCTTAAAGATGTTTTTTTGGTAAAAAAAATAAAATAAAGTAATAAAAGAAATATTATTAAATTCAACCACAACTAGCTAAAATTTCAACTAAAAACTGAATTTTATCTTATATGAACAATATCACAAGGATATTTTGTTAAAAAACTAATTTTTAAGTAGAATTTAAGTTGATTTTTGAAAAGCAGAAATCAAACGAACAATATAGCAAGAATATTTTATCATAAATTGTAAATATATAATAAGTAAGACTATTTATATAAATAATATCACAAGGATTTTGTCAAAAAAAACTAAGTTTTCAAATTGAATGAGTCAGAATTTAGGTTGATTTGAGAAACTAGAAGTTAAATGAATAATATCGCAAGAATATTTTGCTGAAAAGGTATGATAAAATCAAATAAGTCAATACTGGATTGATTTGAGATATATAAAAGTATTAATTTTACAATTGACTTTCTTTAGAAATTAACAATTTCTTAAATTTCACTTATTTTTTTTTAAAAAAATAATTAATTTTAATACTTTTTTTTATTGTATCCTTGCATATAATTTTTGCATGTATAATCAATTATATTAATTTGATTTTTGCATTTATAAATCTCTACCTTTCTGCTAACCAGCTTTATCTTTTTCTTATAATAAAAATGAAAAAATAAAACTAAACAAAGAAAGCATAACAAGTGCAACTACCAAAAAAATAACAGAAGTAACCAAAGCAAGTATAATAAACACAGGAAGTGCAAAATTTGCAAGAAATGAATCAAGCAGCTGAAATACTAGCAATGTTAAAGCTGCAAAAGAAAAAGCTGAAATCTGACATTGATGAGAAGCTGAAAGTCCCAGAACATAAGTTGATTTTTATCATATTATACATTTGATACTCATATAAATTTCTAAATTATAGATCAAGTGAATATCGATTAAAGATGGGAACTGTAATTAATATGTTGCAACTTTTAATGTTGCAACTTATGTTGCAATTAGTTTTAACCTATATATGTTGCAACTTATAATATTGTAACATATGTTGCAACTAATTTTAGCTTATGTTGCAACATTTTGTAAATTTGAAATCAATTACTGTACCATCTTTAATATCGATGAATTATGAAAATAATATGAGAATATTCAACTTCTGTCAAAATACTAATATGAATCAACAGCAGCTCCTTCAGCTTTAGTCGAAATGATAATGATCGATGAATCTGATGATTTGCAAACTAGTATCAAGTTGTGTTTATTCTCCAATTAATTAATAAATATAGTAATCTAACAATATATTTCTTATATTGAAAATCGAAAGATGAAGGAGCAACTCGACGAATTTTGCAAAAAGATCAAGCAACTCAAGCGAAAAATTCTGATCTCTCCTATGAAAATAAATGCTAGAATCTAAAAATCAATTTCTTGCCAAAATTAAGACGAATTCAGCAGGAAAAATGACAATTTGCAAAAGAGGTAAAATTCTATTGAGAATACTTATTTTAATAATTTTCTTATCCCTTCTTTTTTTGATATTTCAGATTCAATGGATTTGCGAAGATTCAGCTGCCTAAATTGATAAGGCAGCCAAAAGACAGTTCCAGCTATGAACCTTCCACTAAATGACAAAAAGTGAAAAGCAAAAAGCCAGTCTGTTGTATCGATAATAAAATGGAATACGAATCAATGGCAATTTGTCAGCAAAAGAGCCAAATGCGAAAGGAATCAGGGTATATTTGAATTTTTGTTAATTGTGTTAATATTCTAAATTTCACTGATTTTTTTTCAATTTTCATATTTAGGCCAAAATGAAAGCAGTTTTAAAAACCATCGATCTAAAACGGGATTTAGACTATAATGTTATGTTTAATTATGATTCAAATATTCAAAAATGACAAAATCTAATCCTAGAATTACGAAAGGCTATAGCTTCAAATTTTCGACATTTTGTTGACCAATTGACGAACTGGCTTTGAAGTCTTTACAAATCATAATGATCAACTCAATAAAATAAGTGAAGTAAAAAGATGATCATGAAACAGTAACAATTTCACATAAATATTAAGTACAAGATATTAGTAAATGAAATTACTTCTGACTTTAGTTTATTTATCTAAATTTAATATTAATATATTATTTTAGAAAAAAATACAATGAATAAAGGCCCAAAATGTTTATTTACGCAAAATGATACACAAATTTTAAAATATGAAAAGCGATCTTTATTGCGAATGCTGGCTGATCGCCTATACCACTCGCCTAAAATCAGTGAAATGGAAGATAATAAACAAAAGTCTGTCATCACTGTATATAATTTTTTATGGCAATCAGTCAAGGTTCTTTAACATTTTTAGTTTTATTTAATTCGCATTTATTAATTTTAGTTAATTTTACACTTACTTATTCCTTATTTTAGCTAAAAAAGCTTCTTTGAAAAGTACTCAATTCAGGTGCTACAACCTTATCAACCATGTGAAAATGTAAATACGATGATGAGATGTAGCGTTACAACCAGCCTTATTCTACGAATACTCCTGAATAGTCTCAAATTGACTAACCGGATATATTCTTTGACACTAAAATTGAAGCGTCCAAATTGGATGGTAAAGAATATGTCACAGATGAAGAAAAATTATTGAAGTTGAAAGGGAGCAATCATCAGTAGCTGATAGTAACGAATACTATGATTCAGATGACCTTCTTAAGATGGATGATTAATGATGATCATCTTAAGTTAGTAGATACGATGATGACAATGATGATTTTCTATTTTTTTTAATAATTGAAAGGATGGGTGAGACAATTTCTTGTTTCTTTTTTTTGCATTTTTTATTTTATATTTATTTATTTTTTGATAATTGGGAAGGCAGGTGAGACAATTTCTTTTCTATTTGCTCTTTCTTTATGTATTTTTTTTTCTTTTTTTTTGCTTATTTGCCTTTTAGTTTAGTTTATTTTAAAATTGGAAGGTGATTGGATGACTACAATAATGACTACTATATAACAATAACAGGGATAGACAATATTTTTTTTGCTTATTTACTTAATATAATTGAATAAAATCATTATAAAATAAAAAATATAATTTGAAATGTAAATTAAAACTGAATTTAAGTTGAATCGTATCTGAATGTTGTTCGAATTGTGTCAAAATTATGGTTGATTTTAGGCTGAATTGTAGTGATTTTAGATAGTTGAATTAGGTTGATTTTTGGCCAAATTGTATCTGAATTGTAGCTGAATTTAGATTAATTTTATGCTTGATTCTTATGTCAAATTATGTCTGAATTTTGTTTGAATTGTTAGTTTGAATTGATTCTATTGGCATCGAATTGTGCCAATAGGAATTAAAACAATTTAGCCATAATTCAGATATAATTCGTCATAAATTCAGACATAATTCGAACATCTAATTGTTAGCCAAATTGTATCATTTCAACTAGTATATGATTGAAAAGGAATATATTTATAAACTTATTCAATTATATTATCATCTATTGATATTATATAATAAAGTATATTAAATTATCTTAATATAATTGGTAATTCTGTTAGAATATATGGAAACGTTTCCAGTAAAATCAAGTCATAAAGCATAATAAATCATATGATCTGTAATGTAATTTTACTGAAAATGCTCTATATATTTAATAACTTCAATAAAAAGAAAGAGATTTTATAAATCATTCTTGATTTTATAATCTTACAAAAAAAAATTAAATTCAGAGATTAAATTTTATATCTTTTATATAATTGAATTTTTTAGATATCTGATCTTAAAATTCAGATATTAAAAGTAATTTTATCAAAGTAATATTACTCTATCTAGTTTTTATTCTAAATTAATATAATAAATTAATTAGTAACTTATGAAAGTATTTTTACTTTTATAAAACAAATAATTTATTTAAAACGTAGCTAAAAACATTTACAATTAGACTCAATATAATGCAAGATTTATCTATCTGAATATGTAGAGCCTTTGCAATAAAAAAGGAAAACTGCTGAGAAAATAAATTTACTTTTATATGTCAAATATGATTTTTAGGCCAAAATATATTCAAATTTAACATTAACTATTTTTTTATTTTTCTGGTAGTTTTCTTTCTTTCTATTGTAAAGACCCATGTGATTGTCTAATAATATGCTTTGTTATAATATTATGAGTTTTAATTTTCTTATTATA